CAGCCGGAGGCTTCACCTGCATGAAAGCCCAGGCTCGCATAGACAGCGACTGGGCGCCATCCAATGGTGGCAGCAGCCAAGTCACTGAGGGGCCCTTCCTCTGCTCATGTACTTCAGCGCACGAGTCAGACATGAGTCGGGCAGCTCCAGGATGTGCAGTCCCCTAATGCCTGACATCAATTTTCTCTGGTGCTTTCCAAGTCAGCAAACTGCTGCGTTTTAATCCTGCTTTGTTGGTTTTCTACCATCCTACTTGACACAGTTGCTTCCTAGGTGGTAACCAATTTGCAGGGCAGGTGGGGATCATGCTGGCTTCGTTCCCTCATGAATAGCGAACTGCGTCTGAGCCTCAATGCGCTTCTCATTTCCTGCAGCTGCAAAGGCACATTTGAGTGTATCCAAGTAGGAGAAAAATGTGCAATGAATGGCGCTGGGGGAATGGTGGGAAGGTGGGTCCTGGCCATGCTGCCTGCGAGGCTGGGACACACAGCGATGGGGAAGGTGGGCCAGGAAAGCAGCGCAAGGCACCTCTGTGTGCTGGGAGCCACCTGCACTTGGTGACAGACAGCACGGGGTGCCTAGAGGCTCCTTGTCACTGGTTGCCTGGTGAGACCAGAGTCCTGTCTTGCCTTGTGGGAATATGTTTTTTTGAAGGGGTTTCTTCCTCCTCACCCCAACATTCCTTTAGTAGGATAAATGTGATAACAGTGACAAGGCACTAGCTCGGTGGCAGGGGTGGCTTGGATGTGTCCTCTTGTTGCCAGAGTTGTGGTGAGCCTGGCATCATAGAATCATAGAATGCTTAAGGTTGGAAGGGACCTCCAGAGCTCATCTAGTCCAACCCCCCTGCACACGCAGGGTCACCTAGAGCACGTGGCACAGGACTGTGTCCAAGCGAGTTTTGAAGATCTCCAGAGAAGGAGACTCCACAACCTCTTTGGGCAGCCTGTTCCAGTGCTCTGTCACCCTCACTGTCAAGAATTTTTTCCTTAAGTTCCTGTGGAACTTTGGATGCTTCAGTTTGTGGCCATTACCTCTAGTTCTGTCGGTGGCCACCAGTGAAATGAGGCCAGCACCATCCTCCTCACTGCCTCCCTTGAGGTACTTCTAGACACTGCTCAGATTCCCTCTCAGCCTTCTCTTCTCCAGGCTGAACAGGCCCAGCTCCCTCAGCCTCTCCTCATAGGGCAGATGTTCCAGGCAGTTCCAGATCCCCTGCGGTTTGGCCAACACAGAACTTCTTTCCAGAAACACAGGAACGTTGTCAGGGAATGCAGAGTTGCGACAAGGAAAGCTAAGGCATGTCTGGAACACAATCTGGCAAGGGATGTTAAAAATAACAAGAAAAACTTCTTCAAGTATATTAACAGCAAAAGGAAGATCAGGGAAAATGTGAGTCCGCTGAGGAACGGGGTGGGTACCCTGGTTACGAAAAACACAGAAAAAGCAGAGTTGCTGAATGTCTTCTTTGCTTTGGTGTTTACCACGGGCAGCCCTTTAGAGTCCCAGGCCCTAGCGACAAGAGAAGAAGCCTGGAGAGAAGAAGACTTCCCCTGGGTAGAGGAAGATTGGGTCAGAGAGCACCTAAGGAAACTCGATACCCACAAATCCATGGGCCCTGATGGGATGCACCCCAGAGTGCTGCGTGAGCTGGCAGATGCCATAGCTAAGTCACTCTCCATCATCTTCGAAAGAACCTGGAGAACAGGGGAGGTGCCGGGGGACTGGAAGAAAGCCAATGTCATGGCTCAAAAAAGGCAAGAAGGAGGACCCAGGCAACTACAGGCCAGTCAGCCTCACCTCCGTCCCTGGAAAAGTGATGAAACGGCTCATAATGGCTGTTGTCTCCAGGCACATGGAGGACAAGAAGGTGCTCAGGAGTAGTCATCATGGATTCACCAAGGGGAAATCATGCTAGATTAACCTGATGACCGTTTGTGATGGAATGACTGGCTGGGTAGGTGAGGGGCAAGTGGTGTTTGTTATATAATCTGCATTTCAGCAGG